TATATATATATATATATATATATATATATATATATGTATGTATGTATGTATGTATGTATAAAAAATAGATTCGCTATGTGGCGCCACACGTCTCTGTCCGTGGATAAACAGTGCAATCATTCCCAATCGATAGCCCCCCTCTCTCTCTGCTCAGCAGGAGCACTTGCACTCGGAGATGATGGGGTACTGCACCGATATCCACGTGCAGTACTTCTGCCGCAGGAAGCCCTGGCAGTACCACCGCAGGAGGGTCTTGGTCACCGACTTGACCGGCTTGCATGACATGCCCTCGGGGAAGGAGCAGGAGCGCTCGCTGAAGCAGTTGCCCTCCTTGATGTAGCGCGGCCAGAAACGCGCTCCCAGGTCCTTCCAGGTGTACAGCACCGGACAGTGCGTGTACATCCACAGCCACTGCAGAAACTTCCGCCGCGCCTTCTTGCCCACCTTGACGCGCCTGCCGTACGGCGTCTCCGTCAGGTTCAGCTTCTTGAGGTCGGCGGGCATGGGCAGGCGCGGCAGCTCCGGAGGCGCGCTGGCGTTCAGCTGCGTGGGCAGGTGGATGGACATGAAGCTGGGGTCGAAGTTGCTGCCTAGCTTCTTGCGCAGCGTCTTCTCCGAGAGGTCCTGCTCGCGCGGATCGTGCTCCGGATCGGGGTCCTCTTTGAGGTCGGGGACCGGCAGATGCTCGCTGGGCGAGGGCCTCAGGCGCAGGTAGTGCTGGGCCGCGGCGCCTTGCGCGCACAGGAGCAGCAGCAGCAGCGGCAAAGCGCGGGTGATGCTGCCCATGACTCGTCTTCTGTCTGTCTGCGGAGTGGAGTTGGCCCTCACACACCCGCGCATAAATAGCGAGATCTTTTAATAGACGGCCGCGTGGCCCGGGATGACATGGGACATGGGCTGTCTGTTTTCAGAGATACTCGCTCAGCTGAGGCGTGCCAAGTGCGCTGCAAAACCTTATCCTCATCGGACTTTTCGGCGGGTCACCATGGCAACGGGATAGGATGGTACGGCACCGTTTCCAAAGCCTGCTCGGATTCTGTCAAACACCCAAACTGGCGTTTGAAATGTCAGCGCGCCCGCGGAATGGAGCGCGTCTTAGCCAATGTTATTTTTACGCACTCCTCTCTCTCTGAGCGCACAGGCTCCAGTGCGTCCCGCCGAACCGGCGCTGATGAACCGGGACGAGAGCCGCTCAGTCTCTCCACAGACCCTGCAGAACTCCGCGATCGGAACCTCAAACGCGTCTAGAACATGCTCGGGTTCAGTCCGGAATAAAATCAGGCTCCTCTACACGTTTGCGCCAAGCGTTCCCGCTAAAGTCTGCTGCATGTTCTCCAGCCGCGGTGCGTTCATATCCCCGCTGTTTCAGAAATCCTCCTCCGCAGAGCCGTCCGAAAAACTCGCCTGGTCCTGATCTGGGACAGAGGAGAATGAGCGCTTCTAGAGGAGAACTCCTCTCTTTCCCAAGTTAAATATCCCCACCCCTTCCCTCCTCCCCCCGTCGCTCCATGAGTGCGCGCGTGTGTGTGTGCGCACCCAGCTCACCAAGAACCCTCAGTCTGACTGACAGCAGAACACACACTCACACACACAATGAGACCCCCCTCCCAACACACAGACCCCACCACAACAGCTCTAGATTTATCACAGGCTGCTACAGAACAGCAACCAGAAAACACACATTTGAGATTTTCCATATCTTGCACATTCCGTGACACGTACCCACCTATTATGAACGGGTACATCGTCTTGCATAAATAATGTTCAAGTGGAAACCTTATAATTCATTCATACCACATTCAAATTACACTGTTTTCTGGATGCATCAGTCATCTGGGGCTTTTGCACATATTGGCACATGATGCATATTGTGCATTTTAATGAATAATCATTTGAATGCTTTTATTTCCCCTAATAAAGCCATTCTTTGCTAGTTTGACATGAGTTGAGCCACACACACACACACACACAGGCGACATCATTTTTCCCAAAGAAAAAGAAACACAAAGAGCACACACACACACACACACACACACACACACACACACACACACACACACAGTCAATATCACTTTTCCGAAGGAAAAAGAAAAACAAAGTGAAGTGCTTAGGAATCCAATAATTGGTCCATTAAAGCGCCTCTGGTTTGTGTGGAGGTTTGTGGATTCGGCTTCGACCTTTGCTCTTGCCACTGGCAAGAACCAACGCACGTGAACTCTTGGGGTCACCAAATAAACGGCCACAATTAAGTGTTTAAACGGGCCACATATAGAGACGTGTCACCTCTCACGGTGCCAGAACTCAAGCTCGATGTGCAGCCTGATGTTCCAACGGCATGCACAAATTCTGCCCTCCATCACTATCGCTCACAGGTGATCTCTGAAAGAGCAGAGGTGAACTTTTACAACCCAAATTTAATTGTGCATTCAAACTGCACATGTAAAACTTTCACGTCATTAACAATAACATATGAGCTGTCAAAATATTTGCACGTGCATGTATTCATCTTTTGAGTTCTATTCAATAATGCACAAAAGATGCAGTAATATTTGTTAATATCATTAATGAGCGTGTTATTTTAAGCATCTCTCTCTGTTCTCAAGCTGTTTGTGGTGGATTGTAGAGGCTGGAGGGATATCCCTCTGTGAGCTGTGGGCTTCATGACACGAGGAGTGTGAGGCATGTAAAGCAGGAACTCTCTCAAACACATCATCAGCTCACGTTCATTCAGACTGCTAGAGACGGCTTGAAGTTTTGCTTCATGTAATCATGTATAATCATATTCAAATTTCAACGCATGAGCTTCTGATGTTATGCAGTAGGATATATAATTTTAAACAATGACCTGATAATAAATGTTATTATTATTAAAGTGTCACCAACAATGTAAACATTTGGTTAAAAAAAAAAAGTAGTCTATTATGCCTCAACTGCATCCGTTTTAATCGTCATCTCAACAGACTTCCGCCAGCATTGACTTTAATTATTTAAGATTTAAAATAAAACTCTCAGATACCGCAAATATCTTATATCATGAGTAGGCTATCTATATAGATAGACTGGTAATACGTTCCAAGAACGTTTTGCTAACATTCCCATTAAGTTATAAAAACGTTATTTCTCTGAATACATTCAATACAAAAAGTGCCGTTTTTAAAACGTTTTAGGAACGTTCTTTGTTGGTTTTGTGAACGTTAAGAGAACATTCCATTGTATCATTTTGCAAACATCAGGGGAATGTTACTTTGTGAATGTTCTCTGAATGTTCTTAAACATGTGGTAACATTTAAAAAACGTTAGATGAACATCCAACTAAAACGTTTTAGGAAAAATGTTTAATGAATGAAGTATGAATACAATTTTTGGGGTAACGTTTTAAGAATATTATTAAAGATCAGAATGAATGAAAGTCCTAATAACGTTACTGGGGAAAACAAAAACACACATAGATAGATAGATAGATAGATAGATAGATAGATAGATAGAGATTAGATCGATAGATAGATAGATAAGATAGATAGATAGATAGATACAGATTAGATAGATAGATAGATAGACAGATAGATAGATAGATAGAGATTAGATAGATAGATAGAGATTAGATAGATAGATAGATAGATAAGATAGATAGATAGATAGATACAGATTAGATAGATAGATAGATAGACAGATAGATAGATAGATAGAGATTAGATAGATAGATAGAGATTAGATAGATAGATAGAGATTAGATAGATAGATAGAGATTAGATAGATAGATAGATAGATAAGATAGATAGATAGATAGATACAGATTAGATAGATAGATAGATAGATAGATAGACAGATAGATAGATAGAGATTAGATAGATAGATAGATAGATAAGATAGATAGATAGATAGATACAGATTAGATAGATAGATAGATAGATAGATAGACAGATAGATAGATATTAGATAGATAGATAGATAGATAGCGATTAGATAGATAGATAGATAGATAGATAGATAGATAGAGATTAGATAGATAGATAGATAGCGATTAGATAGATAGATAGATAGATAGATAGATAGATAGATAGATACTAAAAACATTATATCTGAATGTTCTCTGAATGTTCAAAATGGCCAGTTTTTTTCTTGGTTATACAAATGTTAAGGGAACATTCCATTGAATCAGTTTGCAAAGATCATGGGAATGTTACTTTCTGAAACAAGTAGTAACATAAAAAAAAAACGTCTAACTAAACGTTTCAGGACAAAATGTTCAATGAATGTATAAATAATGCTTTTGTGCTAACATTTTGAGAACATTAGGCCATTTTAAAAATAAGAGAACTTTAAACAAACATTCTATTAATGACATTGGAAGAACCTTAGTTCATATGTTTTAAAGAACGTTAGCGTTCTGAGAACATTCCCAGACAGACAGACATGCAACGTCCCTCATCTGCTGAACGAGTAGGCTACATATAAATGTATGTGTAATAAGAATATTTCTGCATTTTCGCTCATTCGATGCTCAAAGTGACACAGTTGTTTGATCAGAGTAAACAGAGCGCTCTTATTTCGCTCCATGTCTCTCTGGCTCTACTGCGTCTCTAACTGAAAGCAGATGCTGGAAGCAGCATTGAGAAGATTTCCTGTTTATTCTTTCACTGTAGGCCTTGTAAACAGCATCAAATTGGCGAATCTCTCTGGCGACAGCGACGGAGAGCGTTTGATATAAGCGCGCGTTTGTCCCGTGAGGTGATGTCATACCTTACGTTCAGCATACGGGCGAAACAGCGTTTGATTGACAGCGCAGACTGTGAGGGTTTTCAGTGACACAGCATGGGGACGCTTCCCTCTAAATGTGTGTGTGTGTGCGACTGAACGCACAGCTCCAATGCACCGCGCTTCTATTCAGGCCTACCGTGTGGCGCAGAAAGGGGAGGAGAGGACACAGGAAGAAAAGAAAAGTGGAAGAGGGGGTGGGCTGGAGGTCAATAATGATCTCTCGGCCTCGTTTAATTGGTGTGTGTGTGACTTCACTGCATTCCAGCTTGATTACCCTCATTCATGTTGCCTAAAATTAAAATGAATGCGAGAAATATCCTGCTGGGACGGAGAGCGGGGAAAAGGAAGAGACCCAGGGAGAGGGCATTCCCAGCGCGAGGGGGGCGGGATGACATCACATTCCTGGAGCCCGGTTCCTAATAACCGCAAGATATTGCTGTAATTCAGTCCGTCTCGGAGGCCCAGTGTGGACGGTTGAGGTTGAGCTCTGTTTACGTGCAACCAAAGAATCCGATCGGATTGAAAGGCCTTCATGTAAACACCTCAATTGAACTTGGGGTGCGATTACCAAACCCTAAACCTAACCATTCCCAAAGTTCCCACGAACATTCACAAACAGCATCGCAAACTTGTGGTTAGAAGCATAGTTTCTTGTTAGTATGACGTGGACTTGCTTTGCTTTTGGACACAGAAAGCATGCTAACATGCAGTACATTCTATATCTTTCATTCCAGTTCAATAGACAATATATATATTTCAGTCGATATTTTAGCATGTCAACAATCAGAGCTGTTTTTGATGAGTTATTACTCCATCATCTGCGCATGATGTAATTCACTAAAAGTCCTATTGTTCAGCCAACTGAAACCATGTCCATTGCGGGAAACAGTTGCAACTAGTTAGTTAATGATGGATTAATTATGGTAGTTAAGCAGGAAACAAACCCGATTGAGCTAGATCCAAATGAAAAAAGCAAGACGCTTCAAATTCAGCTAGGATGCTTTCAATTTTTAAATGAATCAAAAGTGACAGTAAAAGCATTTATAATGTTACAAAAGATTTTTAATTGAACTTGAATCCCAAACAAAATCTATCATGTTTT